TGTTACTGGTGATATTAGCAATGCCAGGTTGATCTCCTATTGAAAGATTCATCCCCAGTTGCAAGGCCTTTTGCAAAGATTCCAAAGCTCCTTTGAGATCTCCCATTTCACATTGTGCTAGCCCAAGGAAGTGGTAGCTTTGTGTCGTGTCTTGGTGATCACCAAGTAGAGTTGATCTCATGTCTGACGCTTTCCGAAATGTCTCAACAGCTGATGTGAAATCTCCCATGCTGTAATGAACCTTTCCCAGGGCATGAAAGCTGTTTGCTGTATGCACGTGTTCACCTAATACCTAGAGTCTCATGGTCGAAGCCTGCTTAAAACATTCCAGAGCTTCTGGGTAGCTTCCCAGTGCAAGATTCATTGCAGCTAGATTGTGGTAACTAGTGGCAGTGCTTTCGTGTTCACCGAGTACCTTCTCATACAAGTCTGTAGCATCTTGAAAGAGTTCTCTGGCAGAGTGGTAATCGCCCATCTTGTGATACACCTCTCCCATGTTGCTGGTAATATCAGCGATGCAAGGCTGGTCACCTATTGAAAGTTTCCTCTCCAGTTGCAAGGCCTTCTGCAAAGATTCCAAAGCTCCTTTATGATCTCCCATGCCACGCCTCGCTAGCCCCAGCCAACGGTAGTTCTCGACTGTGTCTTGGTGGTCACCAGGTACAGTTGATCTCATGTCTGACGCTTTACGGAATGCCTCAACAGCTGACGTGAAATCACCCATGTTGTAATGAACCTTTCCCAGGGCATGAAAGCTCTTTGCAGTATCAATGTGTTTCCCTAATAACTACAGTCTCATGGCCAAAGCTTGTTGACAAAACGTCAGAGCTTTTTCGTAGCTTACTATAGGGAGAAACGTTTCAAGCTTGGAGTGACTAGTAGCACTGTGAATTCCTTTTGCGTAATACACTTCAGCTATCTTATGTAAGGTTGCTCCTGTAAGAGGATGCTCTCCGAGATGTTTCTTTCTAAGTTTTAAGGCCTGTAGGTGAGCCTCAATTGCTTTATCGTAGTTACCGAGGGCGAGATGTTTGTCTCCAAGGGTACAGTAAACTTTGGCAGTGTCAACGTGATCGGAAATACCCAACTGTTCTCTCAGCTCGAATGCTCTTTGAAATGATTTAACGCCCTCGATTTCATTGCTCATCTTAAAATGCACACATCCAATGTTTGCCAGACTTGATGATGTGTCCACGTGGTCACCAATGTTTTCTTCTCTAACTTTAATGGCGTACTGATGCGATTCAATGGCTCTACTGTAGTCCTTAGTAAGGTAGAGAACTTTGCCAATAAAGTCATAAGTTCTTGCCAACGCTTCGAAATCTATTTCACGGTGGCCCTCGGATAACTTTGCACAACTCCATAATAGTTTTTTCAGTAGCTGTATGGCAGGGTGACAAATCACAAATATATCACAGTCCTTTTCCTCGATGCTTTCAAGGAAGGCAACCAGTGTCGTCTCAAATATCTGGTTGAGGTGGAACAACGTTGTACTCGAAGGATGCATATGCAAAAAATTGTCGACGGCTTTGAACATTGATTCCAGTGCGATCGCCATGTTGGTCGGGATTAACAATTGCTCTTTCAGCTCGTTTGCGTTCAACGGACTTATCGTTTCGATAACTTTCAATAAAGGCTTCATATGCTCCGGCGATAAACACTCCAGAGAAGACTCGAGACTTAGACTGTAACTGAACTTAAAGAGAGCTCCGATAGCGTTAAAAACACCAGGGTTCTGTGTTTTCCTTTCCGATAGAAAAGAACTGAGTAGGTTAAAAGTTACGATGAGGCAGAAAGCATTATCCTTCAGAGAAGACAACATTTCGTTTGGAATACTAACCCCGACATATACTGAACTAGCCTTGCTGATAATTCTATGAAGGTGCGAAAAATGTGATGCCATTTTATGTTCCTCCTTCTTCCTGTAACTGATTGCAAGCACGTCATAGACCAGTTGTTTCAGAATTGTCTCATCACAACTGCTACTTAGAGAATACACTGCACACTGAAGTGACGATATTCCTTCGTCCAGCTTACCACAGAGTAACTGGTAAATGCCAAAATAGCACAAAAACTTTGCTGGACAATCAGCAGAATCGGTGAGGCCTGCCGGAAAGGAATCATCACAGGTTTGATGATCTGAAGAGAACCAACCCCAATGGCTAAACGATTTGGCCGCCAACAACTTCCATTCATCGTTCACTTCTTGCCTTTTCTGTGCCTCTTTCACCGCTGTGTCATAAATTGTCGTGAACAATGACTTTTCAACTGGCAACAGAGCAAAGAGAAATAGTTCTGCCTTGGACAACACTTCCACAGCTTTAGGATACAGCTTGTTATCACCTGGTCCATTGATGAGGGATAACATAATACTATCCCTGTTCTTGAGAAACGCCACCAACGCTTCATTAGATTGGCCAGTTAAAAATGTCTCATTAGCCATTTCAAAACGAGAGATGTGATGGCTGTAAAAGCGATGCTGAGCTGCAAGAAATATAGCTCCCGTTTCTTGGTCAGTTCTTCTTCTTTCATCAATGAATGATCTGAGAAGCGAGTGAATTGTAAAAGTTGAAAAGTCTTCACTACAATCTACTAGAGATCTTCTTTGCAGCGATCGAATGACTTTTTTGGTTTGTCTTAGAGTCTCCCAATCTAAAACGGCTGTTGCTTCTTCTGTTGCAACTGACCCAGGGAAAACAACCAGCGACACAAATGCAGCTCTCTCATGGCCAGTGAGTCTTTCGAACGACTTGTTAATTATGGTCTTGAGACGAGCGTCTTCAGGAAAACTCTCGCTGTCCAAAACTTCAACAATGGGTGAAATCGTCAGTTCTTCTAGAAGTTCGTTAAGGGAAACATTTTCTTCTCTCATAATGCTACACATCAATCGCACTGCCAGAGGAACCTGTCCACATACCCTGACTATGCTTCTGCAATTATCGTCTGAGACACTTGGCAATAGGGAGTGCACTAAACTGACCGAGGATGCTACATCCAGGACACCAACTCTCTCATTATGCATAGGAATCTTATGGTTCAGGTAATCTAGAGATTCACGTGTAGTGAAGAGAAGCTTGATGTGACTGCACGTGGTGAGAATCTCCTCCACAAATCTTAGCACGTCTTCTTTCAGTTCGGCATCTCCAGATTCCAGTAAGTCGTCAGCATTATCCAGAACTAAAACGAAAGGATTCCGCAGCTGTTGTAAACATTGGATGAGCCAGTGAGACGGTGACACATGAAACACCTGTTGAGCATCTGCAAACATGCTAAGGAGCTTTGACACCAGATCGTCTTTCCTTGTCATTCCACGAAGGGATGCAAAGAATACTGGAATCTCCATCTCTCGCAATTGATGTGCCACGTTAATGGCCACTGACGTCTTGCCAAATGCAGGAGGACCCCAGACATCAACCAGTCGAGTACCTCCATTTGTTAAATGATCCAGGATTACTTGACACTCTTTTTGGCGACCAATAAAGTGTGGTATCTTATCAGGCATGCAGGTGTATGGAAACAATGGACCTTAAATGAAAACAGTTGTATAGGCACTTAAATTAATATTTCGACAACATTTCTTTTAATAGGGAAACCAAGCTCTTCAAGCTAATTAAGTGGATGGCTCTCTTCAAATAGCTAAAATTTGAAAGATATTCTCCAATTTGGGGTTATAGTACTTTTGCATTCAAATGAAAAATTCCTCTCGTGCAAACGGGAAACCAGAAGGCCTTAATTTGTAATGGCTCTATACCTGCAAACTTTAAAGCCTCAGGCGTTAGTCTCCCTTCTACAAATTGTCAATGTCAATCTCCGGCCAACCTACGTCAAACAACCAATCTATGACGTCTAGATAAAAAACTTCAAATCACTGCAGCCTGAACTGACGCACTTTCGAAAAAACGGCTAATTCGAACCAATGCAAGATTAGGGGAAAAAGGACACGTGTACAGAACGGCACTTTCCCTGGATCCTCCAATTAAAACGGGAAACGTACTGCGAGCTGACGACAACATGTTTGACGAAACACATCCAGGGACAGCAATGGAAATTTTCGGGACTTCTTAAAAAATCTTTTGAATTATTTGAGCGTCTTCGGATTTGGTCGCGTAATCTTCGATTATCCTGGCACTCCCACTGGCACTGGCACCTGGCACTCGCACGGCTTTGACTTGTTGCGAAAAGTTGGCAGGTATTCAGGTCTTGAACAAGTGGAAAGGGGCATTCATTTAGACCATTCTGTCAAGTAATGTCCTAAACTGAGTCTGTAGTACTTCAAAATGAAGTAAATGAATGTATGATCGATTATCGATTTCTGTTCATTAAAGATAGGAATTTGTACAAAGTATCGCGCACTAGTTTAGTTGATTTTCAGTCTTGATGCTAGTCTTGTTATGACATCAAACTGTCAAAAGAAGCATAGTTTTTAATTCCTAAATGAAGAATTGAAAAATCACAGCTCTTTTACGATTAAACGCCTCGCTACGAGTTTGTAATAAGCCTCGGACGTTTATTCGACTTACAAAGATTCTGGTGAATTTCAACCTAAATTTTCTCAATTAGGATATTAGAAGCTGTAACTTACTAAGATATTTTATGAGTCGAGTCATATGCAATTGGCTGAAATATTCGTAATTGCAGTTCAAAAACTAATTATCTTGCCTCTCTTGGGAAATAATTACTTCATTCCTAAACACTCAAACAAAGATAATTCCATCATGAAAACAAAATAAAAGCTTACCTTTTGAGCCATCCTCTTGCATTGGTTGTTGTATGTGGGCAAAGTTTGCCTTTAATTCTTTTACGTCTGCTCCGATTTCTTTCACTTGTGTCTTGACATCTGTTACTTCAGTCTTCACATCCTTCACTTGTATCTTGACATCTGTTACTTCAGTTTTGACATCTTTCACGTCTGCCCCGACATCTTTCACTTGTGTCTTGACATCTGTTACTTCAGTTTTGACATCTTTCACGTCTGCCCCGACATCTTTCACTTGTATCTTGACATCTGTTACTTCAGTTTTGACATCTTTCACGTCTGCCCCGACATCTTTCACTTGTGTCTTGACATCTGTTACTTCAGTTTTGACATCTTTCACGTCTGCCCCGACATCTTTCACTTGTATCTTGACATCTGTTACTTCAGTTTTGACATCTTTCACGTCTGCCCCGACATCTTTCACTTGTGTCTTGACATCTGTTACTTCAGTTTTGACATCTTTCACGTCTGCCCCGACATCTTTCACTTGTATCTTGACATCTGTTACTTCAGTTTTGACATCTTTCACGTCTGCCCCGACATCTTTCACTTGTGTCTTGACATCTGTTACTTCAGTTTTGACATCTTTCACGTCTGCCCCGACATCTTTCACTTGTATCTTGACATCTGTTACTTCAGTTTTGACATCTTTCACGTCTGCCCCGACATCTTTCACTTGTGTCTTGACATCTGTTACTTCAGTTTTGACATCTTTCACGTCTGCCCCGACATCTTTCACTTGTATCTTGACATCTGTTACTTCAGTTTTGACATCTTTCACGTCTGCCCCGACATCTTTCACTTGTGTCTTGACATCTGTTACTTCAGTTTTGACATCTTTCACGTCTGCCCCGACATCTTTCACTTGTATCTTGACATCTGTTACTTCAGTTTTGACATCTTTCACGTCTGCCCCGACATCTTTCACTTGTGTCTTGACATCTGTTACTTCAGTTTTGACATCTTTCACGTCTGCCCCGACATCTTTCACTTGTATCTTGACATCTGTTACTTCAGTTTTGACATCTTTCACGTCTGCCCCGACATCTTTCACTTGTGTCTTGACATCTGTTACTTCAGTTTTGACATCTTTCACGTCTGCCCCGACATCTTTCACTTGTATCTTGACATCTGTTACTTCAGTTTTGACATCTTTCACGTCTGCCCCGACATCTTTCACTTGTGTCTTGACATCTGTTACTTCAGTTTTGACATCTTTCACGTCTGCCCCGACATCTTTCACTTGTATCTTGACATCTGTTACTTCAGTTTTGACATCTTTCACGTCTGCCCCGACATCTTTCACTTGTGTCTTGACATCTGTTACTTCAGTTTTGACATCTTTCACGTCTGCCCCGACATCTTTCACTTGTATCTTGACATCTGTTACTTCAGTTTTGACATCTTTCACGTCTGCCCCGACATCTTTCACTTGTGTCTTGACATCTGTTACTTCAGTTTTGACATCTTTCACGTCTGCCCCGACATCTTTCACTTGTATCTTGACATCTGTTACTTCAGTTTTGACATCTTTCACGTCTGCCCCGACATCTTTCACTTGTGTCTTGACATCTGTTACTTCAGTTTTGACATCTTTCACGTCTGCCCCGACATCTTTCACTTGTATCTTGACATCTGTTACTTCAGTTTTGACATCTTTCACGTCTGCCCCGACATCTTTCACTTGTGTCTTGACATCTGTTACTTCAGTTTTGACATCTTTCACGTCTGCCCCGACATCTTTCACTTGTATCTTGACATCTGTTACTTCAGTTTTGACATCTTTCACGTCTGCCCCGACATCTTTCACTTGTGTCTTGACATCTGTTACTTCAGTTTTGACATCTTTCACGTCTGCCCCGACATCTTTCACTTGTATCTTGACATCTGTTACTTCAGTTTTGACATCTTTCACGTCTGCCCCGACATCTTTCACTTGTGTCTTGACATCTGTTACTTCAGTTTTGACATCTTTCACGTCTGCCCCGACATCTTTCACTTGTATCTTGACATCTGTTACTTCAGTTTTGACATCTTTCACGTCTGCCCCGACATCTTTCACTTGTGTCTTGACATCTGTTACTTCAGTTTTGACATCTTTCACGTCTGCCCCGACATCTTTCACTTGTATCTTGACATCTGTTACTTCAGTTTTGACATCTTTCACGTCTGCCCCGACATCTTTCACTTGTGTCTTGACATCTGTTACTTCAGTTTTGACATCTTTCACGTCTGCCCCGACATCTTTCACTTGTATCTTGACATCTGTTACTTCAGTTTTGACATCTTTCACGTCTGCCCCGACATCTTTCACTTGTGTCTTGACATCTGTTACTTCAGTTTTGACATCTTTCACGTCTGCCCCGACATCTTTCACTTGTATCTTGACATCTGTTACTTCAGTTTTGACATCTTTCACGTCTGCCCCGACATCTTTCACTTGTGTCTTGACATCTGTTACTTCAGTTTTGACATCTTTCACGTCTGCCCCGACATCTTTCACTTGTATCTTGACATCTGTTACTTCAGTTTTGACATCTTTCACGTCTGCCCCGACATCTTTCACTTGTGTCTTGACATCTGTTACTTCAGTTTTGACATCTTTCACGTCTGCCCCGACATCTTTCACTTGTATCTTGACATCTGTTACTTCAGTTTTGACATCTTTCACGTCTGCCCCGACATCTTTCACTTGTGTCTTGACATCTGTTACTTCAGTTTTGACATCTTTCACGTCTGCCCCGACATCTTTCACTTGTGTCTTGACATCTGTTACTTCAGTTTTGACTTCTTTCACGTCTGAGCCGACATCTACCACTTGTGTCTTGACAACTGTTACCTCAGTCTTGACATCTTTCACGTCAACTCCGAGAACTTTCACTTGTGTCTTGACATCTGTTACTTCAGTCTTGACATTTTTCACATCTGACCCGACATCTTCCACTTGTGTCTTGACATCTGTTACTTCAGTTTTGACATCTTTCACGTCTGCCCCGACATCTTTCACTTGTGTCTTGACATCTATTACTTCAGTCTTGACATCTTTCACGTCTACCCCGACAACTTCTACTTGTGNTCTTGACATCTGTTACTTCAGTTTTGACATCTTTCACGTCTGCCCCGACATCTTTCACTTGTGTCTTGACATCTATTACTTCAGTCTTGACATCTTTCACGTCTACCCCGACAACTTCTACTTGTGTCTTGACATCTGTTACTTCAGTTTTGACATCATTCACGTCCACTCGGACATCTTGCACTTGTGTCTTTACATCTGTTACTTCTGTCTTGACATCTTTCACGTCTGACCCGACATGTTCCACTTCTGTCTTGACATAGGTTACTTCAGTTTTGACATCTTTCAAGTCTGCCCCGACATCTTCCACTTGCGTCTTGACATCTGTTACTTCCGTTTTGACATCTTTCACGTCTGCCCCGACATCTTTCACTTGTGTCTTGACATCTGTTACTTCAGTCTTGACATCTTTCACGTCTGCCCCGACATCTTGCACTTGTGACTTGACATCTGTTACTTCAGTTTTGACATCATTCACGCCTGACCCGACATCTCCTACTTGTGTCTTCACATCTGTTAATCCAGTTTTGACATCGTTTGCGTCTGATACGACATCTTCCACCTTTGTCTTTATATCTGTTACTACAGTGTTGACACCTTTTACGTCTGCCCCGACATCTTCCAGTTGTGTCTTGACATCTGTTACTTCAGTTTTGACATCTTTCACGTCTGACCCGACATCTTTCACTTGTGATTCGATCTTGACAAGGTGATCGTCGATCTGTTTAAACTTGACTGCAGCATCTTTTTCCCTCTTTAACTCGTCTTCCACTTGTTTAAGCCTTGCAGTGGGAAAATCTTCTTCATCCAGCTTTCCGATCTCATCGATCTTGGTGGTGTTTTGTCCAAGTGCGGTAAAGGCATCTTTTGCCAGTATTATATAGTTATCAAAGGTGGCCTTCTCAATCTCCCGTGTACTAGTCTGGTGGCAAAGTTCGTTTCGCAGCCGGCGAAGTTGATCCAAAGCTAACGCGTACGTCTCAGCTTGGTTTCCAGTGGCACTCCTAACAGGAGAATGAAATGTCCCGGCTGATAAAGCACGTGGTTTCAAGTAAAGCCTGTCTAACGTGCTAACACCTCCAGTCCCGTCTGGCATGGCAAAAGTTTGAGCAAAGAGAGTGGCTTTGAACAAAGCTGTACAGTCCCACTCCTTGTAAGATTTGTTCAGAGCAGGTACTTTTTTTGGACCACCCTCTTTTGTCAAGAACATGTTATGAACCGTTACAGAGTCGTCCCATTTGGGGACGCCAGGTGTAGTAGCGACACGGTTGTCCCACATGTAGACAAAGACGGAACGCAAGGTGACTGGGAACTCATCGAGCACAACAGACGAAAATTTGAAAAAGTTCAGTTGTTCTGGAGAAAATTTCATTGTCAGGTATTTGAATGTGTTCCTGAAGGTCCTTCAATGAAGTTGATATGCTGCAACAAGGTAATCTGAACCTACAGTCAAGAACTGAAACACCTGTAAAAATGAACAATATACGAAGATTTCTTCAGAGACAATGAGAGGCAGCTCCTGTACCCTGTATCAGTAAGTAAAGTGCCTTTAGGTATTGACGCAAGGTGACTGTGAACTCCTTGAGCACAACAGTAGAAAACTTGAAAACGTTCATTTGTTCTGTAGAAAATGTCATTGTCAGTATTGTCAGGAATTTGAATATGCCTACAATCAGGAACGTATCTGCAAAAAGGAATACTACGAAGACTTCTTCAGAGAGCATGAGAGGTAACTCATTCACACTCTTTTAATAAGTGCCTTTTGGCGTTATGTTTGTCATCAGGGGCGGATCCAGGATTTTTTAAGGGGGTTGGAATGGATGTAGAATCACTGTGACATATTTCCCCCAAAATAGATCAAATTTGAGAATATGAACCTTATTAAAAACTGTTACACCACAAATACTAGCATTAACCCAAAGTAGAAGTCACAATGAAGTACCTTTAGAGTGGTACCTTTAAAAAAGTTCCTTTCAAAACGTAGAGCGTTTCCCTTTATTTCTACTACAATATTCACAATTTATTTAATTTTTTTTTCAGTTTTGCTTCTTCCAAAGGGGGGTGGTTAGCCACCTACTCCATCCCCTCTAAACCCGCACCTAGTTTGTTTACTTTGCTCTTTACAAAATTACCCAGCGTTTTGCTTGTTATCTGTTGTTATCGTAGATCTTGGGCTTTCAGTCCAATTTTTGGCGCCCCTGTCAGCAGATATGAGGGTTAATCGACGTGTTAATCTTTTTTAGTGTAATGCAAATACTGCCTACACAAAACCCAATTCGTGATAGACTGTGATACTGACTGCCGCTCGTTTTGTTTGTTTATGGAAATGAAACTTCTTATGAACTTACGTTTTCTCAATCCAACTCTCCCGTTGTTTCACCTGACCTGCGGTGCAGACGGAAATTTTACTGCCTATACTGGGAGGCACTGGGACGGCCTGATGGCTGGCACGCTGCAGGAAAAAAAGAAACACAGAGCGGATAGTTTTCAGAGTTTTCGATCGAATTTCAAATACATGCAACTCCAAACTAACTCTTGCTTTGATAAACTGTGGTCCCGTCAAGTACATATGCCACATACGAACATTGAGTTTGAAATCCTGCTGTGACCGAACAATTTGAATATTTTAATATCAAATGGTTAAAACAAACGCAAAGTGAACTGAAGTTAACAAACGTCATCACTGGTAATTTTCATTTCGATTCACGCGATATTCCACCATTACACTAGTATTAGCATGTTAGAAAGGTTCATAACTCATAATCTGGTTCAGGAAGCTCCTGCAAAATTGCTTAGAAGTTTCGGCAACTGTTTTGGACGAGTGGCCCTGCATGCAACAACCCTCTCGTAAATTTGCTTCAATAAAAATATAAATATCTTCAGCCAGCTGCGAAATTAAAACACGCCACCTTGAAAAGTCGTAGCTAAATGTTGTTCAGGAAGTAAATTATCATATAAAAAGCTTCCCTCCTGCAGACCTGTCCAGAGTTGATGCTATTTGTTAAAAAAACAACTGAAAGTAGTTCAAACAAAATCTACACATGCACTATTCATAACCGAGTCCGATAAATTAGACTTAACCTGTCTCAAATTAATTTGAAAACTAGAGAAAAAGCAAAAGATGCTTCAAGTTTGATTTATTTGGTGCTTCAATTCGTGGTCGCCAATGCTTGTTTCCATTCATTCTGGAAACTTCAAGTATTTCAAAGAAGGGTGAAAGGGGTTTCCCCGAAACACAAATAGAAAGTGAAAATTGCAAATCATCAAAATAAGCCATGTTGATAAGAAAATCCCAAAATACTACATGCCGCTGGAAGTCTTAAATGTTGCTGTAAACGTTACTTTTGCTGAGCTTTTCCCTAGAAAATAATATGTCAAGCTAGAGGGGGCCAGTTCAGACGCCGAACTTTCCATAAGCCGAACCAAATACATTGAATTAAGTACATGAAAAGTTTGGCGTCTTGAGGCCCGTTCCAAATACCGCTCCATTCATGCGCCGAACCTAACTGATGAGTTAAGTACGGCAGAAGGGCGGCGTTTGAATCAGTTTGGTTCGGCAGGTTAAGTTTGGTGCGGCAAACAACATTAAATTCGGCAGGGTTTGTCGCACTATGCGAAGTTGGAGCGGCAGCTGATTCATACGGCGTTCTCCTCATGTGTCGAACCTAATGCATAAATTACTGTAATT